GGGGGGGGATACCCTTCCGCCCCTATTCAGAGGGGTCTTCTATTTTTTAATTATTTTTCTTTTTTTTTTTGCGCCCAATCAATCACGCTTTTGAATTCTCTTACGAAGAAAACATGGCTGACTGCCAAGCAGTGAGTTGGTACACCCAAAGAACTCTGTCGAAATACAGGACCAGGTTCGAATCCAGCTGCGATCAGATGAACAGAATAAAATAATAGTAGTAATTGTGAATTACCTGTGGCCGGTCAGCTCAATGATACATAATATTTGAAGGCCGTCGCCCGTAACCAGACCAGCGCTGTGCTGCGCGGCTGGGGAAAAAAAAAAAAAAAAAAAAAAAAAGACATGGTTGCCTGGCTGGGAAAAGGATTAAAAAATGTATATATAACAATTTTATTTTTTTTTTTTTTTTTTTTTTTTTTTTTTTTTTTTTTTTTTTTTTGGGCCCGGCCGGGCAAGTGGCCCCGGGCCACTCTGGTAGCCTAGGGTTTAACATAAAAAATACAAAAAAAAGAGACCAAGCAAACAAGCAACGAAGTAACGAGCAAAAGAAAACAACCCAAAACAAAAAAAAACAAAAAAAAAAAAAGAAGAAGAAGAAGAAGCAAATAATGCACGATACGGTCAATACCCTTTGCTCTGCGGAGGTTCAAGTCCCAGAGAGAGTGCTTAGTTCTGCCATCCAGCTACCGTCTTCGCCCGAATATAATGCCCGGCCACTATGGCTATATTTGGGGCAACTTTCCGTCCAGATACAGCGATAATGACCGGGCATTGTATTCGGGTGAAGACGGTAGGCTGTGACATAGTATATACAATGTAGAATAGAATCAATAGAGTCATTTCCAAGTATTGATTGAGCAGAGACAATGACAGATAGATACAAAAGTGTCTATAGCTGTATAGACAGTGCAAGAGCGTGGCTGACATAGTATATACAATGTAGAATAGATTCATTTCCACCCGTTGATTGAGTAGAGACAACGAAGATAGCGAGAAACGTGTCTATAGCTGTAAATAGACGGTGCAAGAGCGTGGCTGGCCCAGTTTGTACCCAGGTACGGACGGCACTAAGCCGATCTTTGATCTTGTGGTTTTCTGGACTGACAGCAAGGAGACAAAAGGAAGGGGGAGGAGGGGAAGGGGAGAACAAAGAGGGAGAATGGAATAATTCTTCTGATGAAGAAAATATCAAAAGATAACCGGCACTAAAATTGAGGCAAAAAAAAAATAATAATAAGTAAAAAAAAAAAAAAAAAAAAAAAAAAAAAAAACATTACATAATTTACATTGTCAGATTTTTAAACTTACAAATTCCCAATGTCACATATAGAAAAGACAGAGGGGAGCCCGCCGCTCTGAGCGAAATTGACTGCTCCTTTGGGAGGAGGATGGACTGTCATGGCTGCAGTGTTCATTCGGCTCTGCTGCAGTAAATCTTGCAGGAGTGAGGTAAGGAGGATTGATGGGGGGGTTTCGGGGTCGTTTTCTGAACTTTCGGAAATTTTGCCTATTTCTGAAGGCTGTTGTAGCAATTTCCTAAGTAGCTCCAATTTGTCTTAGTCACTGCCGGGTAATGGTCCCGGTATCTTAAAATTTTCAAATTCTATGTGAATTTCATATGGGACACTGGGCCCGGTTCCCAGCATGTGCTGCTCCGCACGAATAGACTGGAGCACTTGTTCCCATTAAACCACTAGTACCTTTGCCGCATGGGAAAATAGCCGGCCTCGGGTGGGCCTCCAACCTTTTCGGATGGCCGAAACGAAACGACCGCCGCCGATCAGATTTATCAATGGCAGCCGTCGTCGGGCCCGGCCTCCGAATTTTCAGGAGTTTGGGAAAACTGCCAGTTTTCCCTAATTTCCCAACACTGGGCGAGGTACTAGTGGTTCAAAAAAAAAAAAAGAAAAAAAAAAAAGAGGATGGACTGTCATGGCTGCAGTGTGCAGTGTTCGTTCGGCCGAGAAGCATGCCAGACCTAACAGAGCAATCAACCGTCCGAAGGAGCAATCAATCCTGAATCCTGAATGCACAAGATTTCCTTCATTGAAACTAATTGAACCACTCGAAGAATGCGGTCGTGTCAAAAAAAGAACACGAAAACACTATAGAACCCCGATTTAGGCTACCAGCCAGGCCGCCTGGGTCACCCTATTTTCCCGGGCGGCCCGGCCATGCAAGGACCAGGGAAAGTCCTAGCAAACAAAAGGGGAAAAAAAAACGCAAAAAAACTATGTTATGCAGAAAAATAAACTAAATGTGAATGGCCTTTGGCTCAGTGTTTAGAGCACCGGTTGGGGGGAAAAAAAATCTGCATTGTGGTATATGAGCTTGCGTGTTCAAAGCTCCGTTGCCTTGCGCACGTACACTGGAAAGCGCTTTCATACCGCACAAGCCATTCACCATTCACACACACTTGGGATGACGCATGGTAAGATTTATACAGACACTGCCTGCGCACTGCCCAAGGGGTCTAGGTCCATGGTTGTAGTATGCTGGATAGGGCCATAGGGCCATAGGGAGGGCTGCTTGACTGCTTGGTCTTTGGGGATCTGAGGATCAGCGTCTTATCTAGGCTCCACCATGGGGGGGAAAGAGAGAGGTTAGAGTAAATTAAAGGGGGGGAGGGTTTACTGCCTAGACCGTGGTAACCCCCAAAAAACTGCCAAAACTGTTGAAACCTTTGATACCTCTGCATAGCCACTTGGACCCTCCGATTTGTCAGTCTCGCCACATAATACATATATATCGTCACAAATAGAACTGCCCAGTAAACCGTAGGCAGAGAGAGAGAAGAGGACAACAAACGAGGGGCTGTGACAAACTGTTTCGTCGGAGTTTCACCGACTTATATTTATTTATTTATTTTACTTTTAATTAATTTATTTTTGGCCCGGCAGGGCAAGTGGTCCCGGGCCACTCTGGTAGCCTAGACCCTGATGCAAGAACACTTTCCGAGTTAAAATAAGCATTTCAACGAAATGTTAACATTTTCTGTGTTAGTCTAAAGATATAAAGACTGACTACGCGGAAAACAAAAAAATCCGACCAATATGAGCAGATCGAATGACAGTCTTTATCGACAGAAACCAAATTCCATCATCCCACAAAAGTCCCCATGCTCCTGAGCTCCAACTGAAAGCCGAACGCACACACGTTACACCAAAAAAGAGCGAAGCAATGAGAGCTCAATTGACAATGAATGCCCTCCACCATCAATGTTCCCAATGTCGCTCTCCTTCATGGCACTCGGCGCCCTGACTACGATCAGACGACTCCTGTCATCTAGACTCTCATGACGGCGCCAACAGGTCTTCATGAAGATCGGCAGCCATATGACGAATGAAGACTTCTACACTGGCCACCCGCTTCTCGTTACCAGCTAAGCACTCTCATGCCCGCTCTTCCCTCGTACACCCGACGCTCCACATCTCTCACCCAAGGACCTCCGCTTCTACCTCCCTGGCTATGGCGCTGGCAGACTGGCTATGGCTGTCATGCGTACCGGCTGCGTACAGCCAGCGTTTTCCTCACTCCCTGTCAGCGCCCTTCTTCTTCGCGCCCGACCAGTGCCCAGCAAGCCTGTGCTCCAGCAGCGCTGCCGCCGTCAGCGCCCTTCTTCTCCGTGCCCGACCAGTGCCCAGGAAGCCTGTGCTCCAGCAGCGCGGCCACCGTCCAGCCAGCCAGCATGAACAAGGAAGTAATGGGCTCACTTCCTTTTGTGCCGATTCTGGCTGGGCAAGGCAGCTTCTGGCTGCTCCGCCTGTGTCCCAGTAGCTGTGCCCAGGGCCCTTCCACAATGTGCCAGGGCAACAACTGTAAGTCCCATGGGCCTCAGCATCTTCAACAGATCGGGCCTACCGGTCAGTTGCAGATGCTCAGTGCAGAAACCAACCCACAAGGCCCTGCCTGCCCACATTGGCCTTTTTCCAGAGGCAAAAAGCAAAAAAAAAGTTTAAAAGAACACAAACACAAAAAAGGTGGGGATGGGGTCCTTGGGGACATCCGTTAAAATTGGAACACTGCAGAGACAGAAGATTAGCATCGCCCCTGCGCGCCGATGACACCCATGAATCGAGAAAAAAGGGTCCAAATTTTTAAAGAGGAGGGGATCGGAGAAAAGAAAATCCGGCCACCAACACACCATTCATTCCATCACACATTCTTTTCTTTTTTTCTTTTGCTCTCTTTTTTTTTTTTGCACATTCTCACAGATGCAGGTCACGGTTTTAATATGTGTGAGAAAAATAAAAATAAAAATAACAATATTATAATAATAATTTTTAAAAAAATCAATTTATAAATTACGGTTTAAACTTTAAACTTGTTAATTACCTTCAAGGTGGTGAAAAAGTACTCCCCAGGCGAGAGTTGCAAAAACCTGACACCCTGAGAATAGACAGGCGCCTCCAAAATCCTGACGAGATCTTTAACGAAGGAGAAGCATACCACCATACACGCACCAACCGCGCCCGCCGAGAAGAACACTCGCTGTCTCAATTCTTCGAGATGATCCCAGATCGACATCTCTACGTCATCCGGAAGCTCCTCTTTGTCCGGGTAAAGGAAGGATTCAATTTGCCCTTTCGATAAAAGACCTGACGATGGCGGAAATGACAACGGCGATGACGGCAATGACGACAGCGACTGTGCGTCACCGATTCTCTCTGGCCGCAGCACCTCCATTGCCTGCAACCCTTCCTCTCCATCCCCCTCATTTGCGAGCTCGGCACTCTCTGAATCACCACAGCAAGACCACGACATTCATCAGCTAATACTTCTCCTCCGACAACACATACCTATCTATCTACCCCTCCTCTCTTATCTCCAATGATATCAATCAAATTCGACACCACATCCATTAAGATAAGAAGATGCCATTTCCGGCAATTATCCGCTAATACAATATGCCATATCCATTACAACAATACCCCACATCGATAATCACCACATTCATAAACCTAATACAACCCTAAACCTTGAAAGTTGAAACGCGTATCTTTTACTACTACAAAAAATGTCACTATCCTCATGTAACAAATAGATGGAGACAATAAAAATAGAACTTAAAAAAAAAAAAAAAAAGAAGAAGATATACCTGTTAGAACTTAGAACTTCAAAAAAAAAAAAAAAAACAGAAGAAGAAGAAGAAGATTGCCAAATGCTCCCCACCAATAGATGGAGCCTCTCCCCGATGGTGCTAGAGGTGTCTGCTCTTATCAGCACCACTACCGGTAGCACTGGTGGGGACGTGTTTAAGAAAAAAAAAAAAAAAAAAAAAAAAAAAAAAAAAAAAACTCCTGCCACAAAAAAACTGTTAATGGGGACGTACCTGGTAATGGGGGAATAGCAGCAATACCTGTTAATGGGGGAATACTGCTAAATAGTAAATTGTGCTAATGAAGGCAGACAAAGGGAGAGAAGATGCCATATGTGGACAAAGATAAGTCATTTAAAAACAACCAGTACACGCCATAGGTTTCACAAGGATAAATTGTTTCTTGTAAATATTCTGATTTTGTGTTAATGAAATAATTACTAGATACAAGCAGGTGCAGCCAGCGCTGCTCCGCCGGCGAAAAAAGTCAGGAAGCAACCCCAATGAAGAATCTCACTTCGCTCTTTCTGTCTCTGACTCTATGTTTTCTTTGTTAGTGTATGGCTGGTGCTTTCTGTATCACTGTTTTAGCTCTTGGCGTCTTCTGTCTTTCTAAGTGTTTGTGGAAAGCAGAATAGTAAACAGCAATAGTCACAAACAGCAAGGTCATACACGGTCACAAACAGAATAGCAAACAACAACGAATCTTCAACTATTCGAAGAACATTATCATCGTCACCGAGAAAGACTAGAAAACAGAATCGCTAAACTTAAAATAAACCGGCCACGAACGCCATCCACATATTCAATTTCACCGATTCGATTAACAACAGGTCAAGTTATGTTGACCGGTCACACCGCCCTCAGCTCTCTCTCTCTCTCTCTCTCTCTCTCTCTCTCTCTCTCTCTCTCTCTCTCTCTCTATTTATCTATCTATCTATCTATCTATCTATCTCTATCTCTATCTATCTATCTATCTATCTCTATCTCTATCTATCTATCTATCTATCTCTATATATATGTATATGACGATATATATATCGTCAAATAGAACCAAAGTCCCAAAGTCACACACATGTATTATTTGTCTATTGGATTGCTCTAAGTTTTATTCTGAAAAGGGCAACCCAATGATGGAAAAACTGAGATCCTAATCTCAATAGTATAGACGACTCTCCTCTTTTCTCGCTTCATACGAATCATTTGACAGAATCTCTACAGATTCTGAGAGGAAAAGCAGTAGGGCAAGCTGACAGTCAATCCTCCGGGAACTCGCACCAGTCTGACAGTACATGCGGAAAAGAGCTCCCCCCCCCCCCCCCCCCCCCC